TTTATTACTGTTTCTCAGGTTTAGATTTTCAGTGCATTTTGAAAAAATATTTGCCTACTATATTTATTAAATCTAAACCTAGAGACGTTAGTCCTAATAACTGCGAAAAACAACCACACACCTCCTCGGCACTGGCTCGGTGAAAGACTCCTGAAGATGAAAAACCACTACAGTCTGGTAGGTTAATTTTCATTTTTGACTCTTTTATTGCTTGATGCGTTGTATGCCGATGTTATTTGCGTGATATAAAGCCAGGTTTAAGTTTCCGTAAGAACATCCCAGTTTCCCGAGTGGAGCTGTATTAACCGGTCTTTTCCTCCGGCCGCAGCGCCGCTGGCAGAGGCAGATCAGCGGGGAGATGAGAGTCACAGAGGTACGTTAAAACACATCTATACACTTTTCTTCATCGTCTTGTGTGAATTATTTTAATGTTATTTGCTCACTTTCCTAGTAAAGCTGTGCTACCCAGTATTTTCTTCCTGCAGTGCACTGGCAGACCGGCGGGGAGACTCGTGAAGACGAAATAAAGCCGTAAGAGAACATTCAATTGTTAGGTCAACTTTAAAACACATGTAATCACTTTATTTGTTTTATACCAATGCTGTCTGTAAGGTATAAATGCGTTTGGGTGAATAAATATCTCTAAGAACATCGGATGGACTGTATGTGTGTCATTTTGTTAGGTTAATGCTTCAGCTACAGATGATGTGTTGCGCAATTGTTAATTGGGTTTCTTTCTTTAGTAATGGCATTCATTCTCGCTACATAAGATACCTGTCTGTTATGTAGTGCCCTGTTATACTGCATTACTGTGCAATATTTATGGTTTCTATAGCAGTGGCATCATTATGATGGTATGAATAGATGGATTAATTCATGTAGGACGCCACTGAAGGCCTAGGTTTAAAATGCACGGCCCGACACTGGATTATAGTCTATTTGCACTGGTTCAGATTTATAAAACCCAGTGAGAGGTTTGTGGTGTGACTCCACAGTCAGACCACTGGGTGGGAGTGATGTAACAATGATTAAGTCAAACTGCCCTCGATTTAGTGTGTGTGTGTGTGTGTGTGTGTGTGTGTGTGTGTGTGTGTGTGAAAGAGGGAGAGAGAGATGCAGAGAGAGAGAACAAAACAGAGCATATGACAAATGACTAGAATCCTAAACATCAGCTTTCTTCTACATGCCTTTAATGGCAGTTCAATATGGAACCGATTTCGGCCAGAAAAAATAATCATGCTTTAGTAAATTATAATATAATACCCCTTACAAACAAACAATAAATAAATAAATAAACATGGTTTTACTTCACTAACCATAATATAACCATGGTGTTTGTAGTAAAACTGTGGTTATACAAAACCATGGTAACTACACTTTTACTATAATAAAATGGTTAATTTTTCGTAAGGGGCAAAAAGTCCTAATTATGAGATAATTGTGACAAACATGCAACCTTTTAACTCATAATTATCTTATTATCTCACACTTTCAACCTTTATCTCACAACTGTGACTTTGCATCTCTTAACTGCTACTTTTTGTCTTATAATTATGACTTTGTGCCCCATAGTTTAGACATTTTATGTTATAATTATGACTTTTTTTATCATAATTATCATATAGGGACAGAAAGCTGCTGTCACAGCATGTGAATACTAAACTAAGTTCTCATTCAACATATTATCATATATCATACAGTAATGATGATTTTCAAAGCATGAATGTTTTTTCTTATGTGGTTTGGGGTTCCATTGAGCAAAGAGGTCTATAACACTGGCCTGCCAGGCTCTAAAACTTTAAAGGTGACATATTATGCCCCTTTTTACAATATGTATTATAAGTCTCTGGTGTCCCCAGAATGTGTCTGTGAAGTTTCAGCTCAAAATACTCCACAGATAATTTATTATATCATTTTGAAAATGCCTATTTTGAGTGAAAGCAGAAACAAGCTGTTTTTTGGGCCTGTCTCTTTAAATGCAAATGAGCTGCTGCTCCCCACCCCCTTTTCCAGAATAGAGCTGCGCCTTTACAGCTCGTATCTGCTAAAAATATCTGTTTTGGTTCTGATTATCATGTGTATCGCGCTGAAATCATGCGTTTTAAACCATATTAGTTTAAACTTCAGATATACGGTTTTCTGAGCGCACACATCCGAAGCACACGCACAGAAAGCGGCTGTCACAGCATGTGAGTACTAAACTAAGTTCTCATTCACACACAAGTTTACATTAAAAACAAACGAGTTACAAAAAACAGTCGGTTATGTCTGTGAAGGTAAACAGCTGGGAAATAAATCGCTTGTTTATTTTAGATGTGTGGCAGCAGCAATATATACAGTAGCCTAAATAAATCAATAAATCCACTGCTCTGTTGTCTCCTCTGAGGCTGGGAATCTAAATAGTGTTCTGTGCTCATCTGTGCAGCCAAAGACAGAACAGTTAGCATGTTTTGCTCAAACTTTCGCCATGGCGTTAGAGCTGGTACACCGTTGTCGCTTGCGAAATCAAAATGACGGTGCTTTGAGTGGAAGTTTACAGATTAAGGGGCGGTAATATTATAATGAGATCCCTTTTGCCACGTCACCAAGGGAGCGAAATCAGACTCGCTCGTTTTCTCAGACGCTTGCAGAAAAAGGCTTCCCAAAACAAAGTGATTAGGTGAATCTTTTTCACTTTTCCTTGGTTGGTAGATGCACCAGGGACCCGATTATAGCACTTAAAACCCGGAAAAGTCAGATTTTCATGATATGTCGCCTTTAACTCATTTTTTATTTTATTTTATATGTTAAAACAATAGTATTCTGCATCAATAAGTAAACTTGTACAATTGCTATGATGATCACAGAACAAGTCAAGAGTTGCAATAAAATATTGAGAGCAAAA